GGGGGGGGGGGGGGGAAACAAGGAATATTTGCTACCCACACTGGTTTAGAGCATTAAAAGGGAAGAAAAGAACTAAGAGTAAGTGTTGTTTGATTCTTTATATTCATATGGAAATTTTAAATCTCCATCAAACGATCAGGAGAAAAATCACATTGAAATTCAATACAAGAGCTCCCAGCTTACACAGAATTTTTTAAAGATGTTTGACTTGATCCTTTAAAAATGACAAAAACCATGAACTGTGTAGCTCCAGAGGTCATAATTTTCCTTACCCTCCTCAGCCTTGCCTTCCTACCCACACTGCGTCTGTGTGGTCCTGTGTCAGTGTGCAGAGCTTCTCCGAATGTGGGCAGGGGGAGGGGGTGGGAAGTATGCAGCAGCAGTCAGGTTTATAGAGCTGCCTATACTTTAACCCCTCTCTAAAGGCTCATTGTTTCTTCTCTCACAGTGTTGTAACTGGTCTCCTTGTGTTCAGTCTCCTTAGTCCTGGCCTTCTTCCACACTGCTACCAGAATTACCTTACTAAGAAATAAAACCGATCATGTTGCTTTCCTGAGTAAAAACTCATGCTGGCTTCTCAGTCCACACTTTCTAGACTTCCACAGATGGTGGCATTTTCTACCTGTCTCCTTTAACCCATACCAGGCTATTGCCCATTGGATTGTGAATGACTCAAAGTCAGAAACAGTGTATTTCCAAGGCCAAGTACAGTGACTGGAATATGATAGTTGCTGGTAAATGCTAAATAAATTAATTGGTGATTTAAAATTCTAACACGATCATATGTGAGAGAGAAAAAAGAAAAATATATGCTAGTCTTGCACTCCTCTGCTTTTATTTCTTTTGCTAAGTATAAGTCAAAGACATACTCATTGTACTAAAGATCAGGTTTCTTTTTTCCCTGTTACAGACTCCTGGTCACTTAGACCCAACATCCTATCTCGATACCCACCAGGAAGCACCATGTCTCCTGGGACCCAAAAAGGCCAAATGAAGGAGAGCTCCAAAGCTCTTGGACAAGGTTGTTTGTATCTGAGTGATGTAAAAATAGTGCAGGCATTTTTTGCTTTCTGAGAGTTCTTCTGCACATTTATCACTGATCTTTGATCTGATCTTCTGTAAATGTGGGCCTAGACTGATATGATTACATGAAGTTAACTTTGATTACATTGAAGTTAACTTTGCTGTGGGAATTCTTTGTTAACCATTGTTAAATAAGTACAACTGTTTTAATGTAAGGAAGCCCACTCTTGTAAGTAGGTGGAAGGATGAAATCTGCTTGGGAACTACTTAGCTGGTAGAATGGATTTTAAATTTGCAGAGGGTCTGAATCAAACCAGAAGAGTAGTGCCACAGAAGCTAAGAAAAAACAATAGACAAGAAACTGAAGAATAGCCTAAAATTGTAAAATTTGATAATTTACATACAGAAAAAAATCACCTGTCATTCCACTACTATGAGGGCATGTAGAACAGAAATCCTGTACACAGTTATCATCTAGAACAGCTTTAGAAAATTAAAAAGTATATAATTCAACACAATAACAGGAAAAAATGAGCTCCATAAATGCCAAAAAAAAAAATTTCCTTTTTAAATAAAATTCAGTACCCATTCACTGATGAAAGTTCTTAGCAAGTTAGGAATAAAAGAGAACTTCCTTAACCTGATAAAGAGTATCTCTACAAAAACCTACAACAATCATCATTGTAAATGATAAAACAACTGAAGAATTCCCTTTAAAATCGGGAACAAATAAGGATAGCTGCTACCAGTGCTTCTGTTCAGCATTGTATTGGAGGTCTTAGCCAATAAAATAAGACAAAGGAAAATAAAATAAAAGATACAGGGGTTGGAAAGGAAGAAATAAAATTTTTATTTTCAGGGCCGGCCTGTGGCTCACTTGGGAGAGTGTGGTGCTGATAACACCAAGGCCATGGGTTCGGATCCCTATATAGGGATGGCCGGTTAGCTCAGTGGGTGAGCGTGGTGCTGACAACACCAAGCCAAGGGTTGAGATCCCCTTACCGGTCATCTTTAAAAAAAAACAAACAAAAAAAATTATTTTCATTGTTGATATGTTTGTCAGAATCTACAGTAAATTATTAGAATTAAGATTGTTTAAATGAGAAGGTGGAATGTTGACAGGGTGCTAAGATGGCTGCCGGGCAGCTGCTTCCTGACCAGAGAAAAGATGTGTAGTGAGCTGCTCCTTCCTGGTCTATATGCAAGTGATGTTGAGCCAGATTCTGAAGCCACTTGAGAGAGTCTGGACTTAACTTACAGGAAGGTAAAGGAGATGGGACCATTAGAAAAACAAATCTCAGATTTCCCACCAGGTGGACCAAAAACTGAAACAGAAGCGAATGTAAATGCATATGAAGAGTGTCCTTCTGGAATTCCCTTAAATATGTGGAATAAATTTCAAGAATTGAAAAAGAAACATTCTGAAAATAAAACCTCAACCTTAATATTCAAAGGGAAGAAAAGATAAATTGAAGAATGAAAAAGAATCTCATGGTGAACAGTCCTCGAATGAAACCCAATGGAAGGTGTTTACTCAGTATTTTGGAGTCAATGATAGATTTGAACCCCCTGTTAAAAAGAAAAAAAATTGACAAGTCAGTCCTTGAAAAAAGGATAGATCAAGCTGTGGAGGAGTGAAATACTGAGAAGGCCGAGGAGCTCAGCAACCAGCCATCTACTCGAGAGCTTGGTGTAAAAATTGCCAAAGTAGTTGCCTGCCACAACTTTGTAAAAGCCAAAAAAGGAGGCTGAAAATTCACAGGCTGCTCAAAAAAAGAAACTCACATGGGGGGCTGAAGCAAAGAAGAGATGGGAAACCAAAAGCAACATGGAATATATGTAATTTGCCAGAGTTCTTCATAACATTTGTAGACTCGAGTGCTCAATTTACTGAAAAGGTTTTCTTGCTTATGTTAAGTATGCCAGAAAATTGATAGAAGTAGAAAAAATAAGCATAAAATTTGGGAGTTGATTATTAACTCTTCTCAATCTTTTTCTTTTTTTTTTTTTTTTTTTTTTTTTTTTTTTTTTTTTTTTC